AAGCACAAGATTACGTAAGAGTGGATTGAGATTAGATGAAAGTTTGAAGTTAAAATATGTGAAATATGTGAGGAAAAATAACTAAGGACTAACCATTAGGATACGAATTTGCTGAACCAATTTTTAAGTGGAATACAAAAAAGGGAGGCGTGAGGAAGTCAGGATAATAAGTTGATCAAAGTGGACAAAAGAAAAAAGAGGGTTTTTTGTTTTTCTTTTTCTACCTTATGTTAATTGTTTGTATTTTTGTGCTTTTGAGTTCATTTTTGTGTTTTTATTACTGTTTGTTTTATAATTTTCTTGTTGTGGAAACTGAATAAAATATTATATAAAAAAACCCCAAAAACTAAAGTCAGCTTTCGATACGGTCCCAAGACACGCATTGTGGCAAAAATTGGAAAAGACAAACATAGACCTCCGTCTATTATTTCTCATCAAAACATTACACACTGACACACTGATACAAGTAAAGGTGGATCTGGCCTGCCATCTTACTACTAGAATTAAGACCAATACTGGAGTCAAACAGGGATGCATTTTGGTGCCTTTCTTGTTTAATTTTTATATTAATGACATGGTTAAAGAACTGGAGGGCCTACGGTTTACCCCTGTCACAATTCTTGACCAAAAACTCTCAGTCTTAATGTATGCTGATGACCTAGTACTTGTATCTAGAACCCACTTAGGCCTGAGACGGCTGCTTGCAAAATTAAGTTCATATTGCTTGAGGAATGCTTTATCTATAAACTACGATAAGACGCAGGTCACTGTATTTGGGAAGCGCCTTAAAAAGCATGTTTGGCACCTGGATGAACACATCATAAACCAAGTAAATAGGTTTAAATATTTGGGATTGGTTTATTCAGAAACGGCATCCTGGAATATACAGCTATACAATATTAAATTAAGGGATGTGGGTGGTGCTGTGGGTTAAACCACAGAGCCTAGGACTTGCCGATCAGAAGGTCAGCAGTTCAAATCCCCGCCATAGGATGAGCTCCTGTTGCTCAGTCCTAGCTCCTGCCAACCTAGCAGTTTGAAAGCACGTCAAAGTGCAAGTAGATACCAGTGGTACCTCGGGTTAAGTACTTAATTCGTTCCGGAGGTCCGTACTTAACCTGAAACTGTTCTTAACCTGAAGCACCACTTTAGCTAATGGGGCCTCCTGCTGCTGCCGCACCGCCGGAACACGATTTCTGTTCTCATCCTGAAGCAAAGTTCTTAACCTGAAGCACCATTTCTGGGTTAGTGGAGTCTGTAACCTGAAGCGTATGTAACCCGAGGTACCACTGTAAATAGGTAAATCTGGCGGGAAGGTAAACGGCGTTTCCATGCGCTGCTCGGGTTCGCCAGAAGCGGCTTAGTCATGCTGGTCACATGACCTGGAAGCTGTACGCCGGCTCCCTCGGCCAATAAAGCGAGATGAGCGCCGCAACCCCAGAGTCGGTCACAACTGGACCCAATGGTCAGGGGTCCCTTTACCTTTAATGTTAAATTGCAAGCTTTTAAATCAGCAAAAGCTATTTTGAAATTTGATGCTTGTAAAGGTGGAAATCTGGTTAACCCAGCTCTGTGTATAAAGCAAAAACAATGATTTTATATGGTGCAGAGGTTTGGGGTACCTCAAAGGTCTCTGGTTTGGAACCCCCACAGAATTATTTTTTAAGAGTTCTTATAGGTTTACCCAAAGATGTGCAATCTGCCATGGTCAGGTTGCAAACTCACATATTGAGCATAGAGAGCCAAACAGATAAAAGAATCCTTTGTTACTCGTTTAGAGTTCAACAGATGGACAACACTAGGCTACCCCAAAAATGCCTGATTGAGGTCTCGAATGGATTACCCTTTAAAAACTGGGTACACCATGCTGCCCAACTAATGGACAAATATGACCTCTCAGTGACTTCCCTCTCAAAGAACTTCCCTTATATTCCCAGAAAAATATCTTTAAACAAACCATAAGGGCAGTGGCAACTAAAAACGATCTAAACTCTATGTACACATCCACATGCGCCCCATTATATTTTAAACTTAGAGAGGCCTAGGAACACACATCTTATTTTAATGAATTGACTTGTGCAACTTCGGAAAGCTTTCACAGTGTTACGATTAAGTACAATAAACTCTGCTTATAGAGATAGGAGACACAGAGGCATACCAACAAATGAACGTGTTTGCATTAGAGGATGTCCTGAAGTAGAAGACCTTATGCATTATACCTTGTGCTGCTCCTTATATAATGAAGCAAGAGAAAGATTTTTAGCACCTATAAGGACAAGGTCCCATGGCCAGAACCCCTCTGACATGATTTTATATCTCCTCGCAGACACAGATAAGTATGTGACCTGGCGTGTAGCACTCTTTGCAACTGCCGCTAGGAAAATTAGAGCAAATTATATAGCCAAGGTAGCCACCAACTGTAAAGGAGATGAATTTATTTGACCCTATCTACATCAAGCTATATTCTATCTTTATCACCAAACTCCGAATATAATTGCACATTGTATTAATTAACATTATTTTTTAATATATTAGTGGCCATGTGATAATGTTAGCTTATAAATTTTATTGTTTAATGTCTTAACTTGTACATTAAGGTACTTTTATTGCTCTGTTTAGAGTAGGTAATGTTTTGACAATATAAATGTTTTAAGTTTTTTTAATCAATCTAGTATATTTTCTGTTAATTGTTTAAAGGTTTCTGTGTGCATTGCGGCAGCCTTTGGCTATGTGCAATAAAACTGACTGACTGAGTAATCATAGCAATTAGGCAATCAGGGACCCAAATGAAACAGCACACAGATAATTAAAAATTGCACAGGTAATCAGCTAACCCACAACAGGATAATTGCAACAAATAAATTGTGATTTGATTTTGCTGAAGGTGTATGTTTGCTTCCTGGCTTGGGACTGCTAAAAGAGAATCTAGAGAAAATGGGATGGTCCATGAATCATAGACACTTATTCAGCTACTCTAGTGTAGCTGTCATTGGAGGGTTCTGAAGCTCCCTCATTCCTTTTCGCTTGGCTATTTGATCTTTGAACCTGCGGCTCATGAGAAACACTTGTTAAACTTCAGCTATATGCCGAAATGCCACAGAAATATTGCCTGAAGCAAAATGTGGAGCACAGTTGAGAAGTTCCTCCTTAATTTGGGGTGAGGGACCCTGATAAATGTTCAGGGAAGCCAAAAGAATTCTGAAAAGACCAGCGAAGGAGTTTCACACAATCCTTATAATAATAATAATAATAGTTGTTGTTGTTGTTGTTGTTGTTGTTGTTGTTGTTGTTGTTGTTGTTATTATTATTATTATTATTATTATTATTATTATTATTATTTATACCCCGCCCTCCCCAGCCAAGACTCAGGGCTCAGGGCAGCTAACAACTAATAATAAAAACAAGTTGATTAAAATACAATTTTAAAAAAAAGATTAAAATACATTAAAACATTAGGATGCAGCCTCTTCACAGGAGGAGAAAGGAAAAAGAAAGAGGGGGAGGGAATCAAATTGATTCCAAGCCAAAGGCCAGGCAGAACAACTCTGTCTTACAGGCCCTGCGGAAAGAAATCAGATCCTGCAGGGCCCTGGTCTCATGAGGCAGAGCGTTCCACCAGGCCGGAGCCAGCGCTGAAAAGGCCCTGGCTCTGGTTGAGGATAACCTAACTTCCTTAGGGCCCGGGACCACTAGGGTGTTGCTATTTATGGACCTTGAGGCTCTCTGTGGGGCATACCAGGACAGGCGGTCCCGTAGGTACGAGGGTCCTAGGCCGTGAAGGGCTTGAAAGGTCAAAAGCAGCACCTTCAATCTGACCCTGTACTCCACCGGGAGCCAGTGCAGCTGGAAAAGCACTGGGTGAATATGCTCCCATGGCAGAGACCCCGTGAGGAGCCTCGCTGCAGCATTCGGCACCCGCCTTGCGTAGAGCGAATTACAGCAGTCAAGCCTGGAGGTGACCGTCGCATGGATCAATCCTAGCCATGGCCAACCTGCTCTAACCTCTCCATGAGCCTCTTCCCTTCACAATGTCCCACCGATAAGAAGCAGGGATCGAGGGAAAACACTATAGCAGACAGGATGATGGGAGATCAAAATATTGCAACTTCAGTTACATAATTTGCCACAAAGTCAATATATTAGGCAAAACTAATGTCTTAGGTGTACCAAGATAAAACAAAATTTGATCTCTAATATGGTTGCTTCAAGTGTTAAAGCACGAAGCCATTTTTAGACAAGTGAGATTTGGAGTAGTTGTTCTGCAGTTGTTTAAGAAGCAGGAACCCTGAACTAGCCAGTTTAAACTGGCTTGAAAATCTGTATTTGTGCATAATGGAGATCAGTACTACATGCAGAAGATGCTATTTCCCTGGGAAAATTTAAGCTTCTCCTACCCGCTTCTTTTTAATTTTTAATTTTCATGTACCACAATCCCTACCCCATTTGCTGAAATGACATATTTTATTGCTGCAACTCTCGATTACCAAATGATGCATTAAATGTAGACTCACATCTACCAGCGAGTCTCTGGGCATATTTTGGGGGGGTGGGGTGGGGGAGGGGAGGGGAGGAAGTATCTAGTCCCCAGTATTTTGGACTAGGTGGACCTCAGTCTGATTCATCAAGATTAGATCTAAATTTTAAGCAACAGTGCATGCTTACAGCAACAGAAATGTCGATCAAGTCAGGCCATTGGTCCATCGAAGGGAGTGTTGTCAACACTATCTGGCAGATGCCTTTCCAGGGCTTCCTAGGAAATGTGAGGGATGGAACCTGGGACCTTTCATGGGCAAAGCAAGTGCTTCTGCCACTGAGCACCAGCCCTTCCTGTTGGTCACTCAACACACTTTTTAACTGCTATGACATCCTGAGAGTGCACGCATGCTTGGATATGTTGGTCAACTATGGAGGTGCTGTTAAAAAGTGCAAAAAAAGAACTGAAGGCAACCCACCACTACTTTAAAGCAGCGGTCTAAAATAATTTCACACCCAAGGCCCACCTTGCAACATGGGACCCAAATTTCTCTTTTTTCTTTTCTTTCAGTAAGCATGCCCATCTTTCTACTTTCTTACTTCCTCCTCTTTTCTTCATTTTCTTAAGGGGGAAATAAAACACTAAACCAAAAGGAGACAGAGAATAAAATGTGACAGCAAAGTCAAAGTGATTCACTTTAGACATGGGTACATTCCTGATCTTTAAGTCCCGAACCATTGCTTGAAGACTAGTGATATAAAACACATTCAAGCATAACTATTACATATTAAGAGATCTTGAAGCTTTCTAGGTAGTTGCAACAAAAGTACACAAATCAAAGCCTGAAAAGAATCCATATTTGTCACGACCACTGTTTTCTCTCTGCTTTTGTAGTGTTTTGGATGTCCAAAGTCTCCACTTGTTGTGAATATTGTGTGCATGTTGCTTCACATGGCATAGGAAGTTCCAAGGTGCATTGTGGTAATACAGATGTCTACATTTAGCTCCAGGTGTGTTCTGTTTTTCTCTGTATTCATGAGATCAAAAAATTACTTTAAAATAACTAAATTATCCAGATTACTAAACAACCCAATGAGCTTAACTAAGAGACATCTGCAAATACTTACTGTAACTTGCCAACTCCTGAAAGGCTTCTTGTTGTAGCCTAGTAGACCGCACTAAGCTTGAATTCACGCAGCCGAGAAGTGGTGTATTCCAGTTCCTTGGTTCCAAATCTGAAATCATAACATAAGCAGTCTTTGTGCTTGAAAACATGCCTGTGTGGTCCTTGGCCACATGAGAAATGTTAATGGATTTAAAAACACATACAATTTGCATGAGTTGTTTCAAGCCAAACTTACAGCAGGAAGGTAGAGGACACTTACCAGTTGGAAATGAAGCAGTGTATCTGCCCAAACCTTTTGCAGGCACAAATAGTATTGAAAGCAGGACTGCATGCAGCTGTCCCAATACCATCACAGGCACAAATTATTGTGAATGCACAATAAAAGGATGTCTGGAGGGGTCCTAGGTTAAAAACTTTGGATAGGCTGAGGTAACTGGAGGTCCCTGACCCTAAGGACACATCCTATTATTATGCATCTTAACTCTTTCTTGAAAGCTGTGGGCAAATACCAACCCTGGGGGCTATATTCTACCTCCATCAACTGGAAAATGGAGTGAAGAAAGCTGCTGTGCTCAGGAGTGGAGGGCTTCCCATAAGCATCTGGTTGGCCACGGTGAGAACAAGATACAGTGGCGCCTCGCAAGACGAAATTAATCCGTTCCGCGAGTCTCTTCGTCTTGCGGTTTTTTCGTCTTGCGAAGCACGGCTATTAGCAGCTTAGCGGCTATTAACGGCTTAGCGGCTTTAAGAAAAAGGAAACAAACTCGCAAGAACTCGCAAGACGTTTCGTCTTGCGAAGCAAGCCCATAGGGAAATTCGTCTTGCGGAACGACTCAAAAAACGGAAAACCCTTTCGTCTAGCGAGTTTTTCGTCTTGCGAGGCATTTGTCTTGCGGGGCACCACTGTATTGGCCTTGATGGGCCCTTGGCCTGATCCAGCAGCCACGCTCTTACGTCAAGAGCTGTTGAGGCCAGTTCCCCCAGCACTAACAGCAACAGAGTCTCTATCAGGTTTTGCCCCTTATTTGCCTCTCAGGCTTATAGAAGGGGGGGGGGGGGAATCAGCAACTGATATTCCGAAGCATTACTGCCTCCAACTATAGATTATTTTAAAAACTGGCAACACATCCTACTGTTAGCCACTTGTTCAATGTGTAGATGATGTTTTGTAGATAAAAGAAAGTGCCTCCAATAATAAACAAACTATTTCAGTCACTACTAAACCAAGAGGTGCTGGGGGGGGGGGAGTCCAAACTAAAGGGTCACCATTTGAACTATTACAAGGGGGGAAGGTGCAGGGTTGGTAGGAGATAAAAGCTGGGGAAATGTCCACTCAGCTCCACCACTTTGCAGCTGTTGAACAAGCTGACAGGAAGCAGTACCATACATGCATGGATGTGCAACTTATAGGGCACTTCCAGACCGGGCTGTTTATTTAGCATTCTTGCTGATGTTTGCCCAAAACGTACAGAGAACATATGGTGATGTTTGTTTGTTGAGAATTTGTCCTGCTACTTGTACACTAAGCCTATATGACAGTGTCAGCTAGTGGCCATTACCCCATGTTTGTAGCCACTTTTCTCACTGGACTTCTTGTTAAAAACTTCAGGATAAAAAAAAAAGCCAGGAAGTTCCTGCTCTAACTGTCTTACCTTATTCATTAAGTTAGCAGCCTTAAACAAGCCACTTTCATTCAGTCCCCCTGAATGCAACATGGGGCTAACAATATGGACCTATGTTACAGGGTTGTTGTAAAAAAAAAAAACCATCGAGATAATGCATGAAGTGCTTTGAGCGCATAAAAACCTCTACATAAACAAGTGCTAAACTCACCTTCAGTTCACTGGACTGGACCATGTCTTCCAAAGTTTTGGCAGTAGCAATAGTCAGCAGTGAAGTCATCTTTTTCCAGCTGCAGCACATTTCAACCCAAAGGGTGGGCGGGAGTGTGCGTCGCCTTCTTATGAGCATGAACTATAGCAAACTTTGCGGAGGATTGCTTCACTCAGCAAGGGACCTACAATCAAGCAATTTAATATAGCAGGTGCTGTGAATACTTTAATAGGGACACACACAAAGGAATTTGCTAGAGAAAGTCAATGATAATGCCTTTGGGACAATGACTGAATCAGGAACAAAGGCTGGAAAATGGTTTTGTTACCAAAAAAAATGTATTTTCAAGTAGTCTACTAGCTTGAACTTTCTGATGAGGAGAGGACAGATTCTTGAATTGGTCCATGGCACCTTTGATGTTCCCATTTATTACAATTCTCAGACCTTATTAAGGATTTTCAAAGCAGATGTTCAGCTCCCAATTGCACCTTTTAATTCACATACACAGTTCCAGATTGGTTTAGAGATTTGATGTAGTCCAGAGCTAACACAGTAGTCTATTTTCCTATCGTCTCATAAACCTCTTTCTTTTCTTCCTCCACTGCTTATCATCCATGTATTCAGTATCGTCAGGAGGGTCTGGGGTTACAAAACCATGTGTCAGTTTATAGTAGACTATTGTGGAGTCTGATTCAACTATGGCCAGTGTGATAGAGAGCGGAGAATCAGGTTCATCCCTCAGAGTATATGATCTCTTCATGATCTGTCTCAACCTGAAAGAAAGAAAAAAAGACTCCTGCAATTCTGCTTACTTTGTTTAAATTTCACAGTCAATCAACAAACAGATCAAGTTAATAATAGTTCTTCTTTAAGTATCTGTCAGCGGCTGCCTCAGGTCCCAGCTCACTAAGTTCCAACGCCAGTTGCTCTTTATAAACAAAAGTCTTTATTGTGGTTCATTGTTGGTTTGACATCCGTGGCGCGCAGCGCTACGTCTGAGTCCTTAGACCGGCGAAGTCCCGTCTGAATCCGCCCCTCCTTTACACCAGTTCAATACCCGAGCTTTGCTCCACCTCTTCCTTTCCTCCCTCTGCTCCTTTCGCCTCCGGGTCCTCCTGCCCTCTGGGGTCCCAACCCTCCTGGACTCTTCGGAGGCGGATTCTTCTGACTCCTCCCCCTGTCTCCGGCGGGCTTTGGGACCTGGCTCCCAATCCGGATTTTCTGCTGTCCCGCGCGCCTCTACCTTTGAACTTGGCGCGCGCGCCCAGCCGCCCACTTTCCTCCTAACGGCTACACTGCTCCCTTCACTGCTTTCTCCTTCCGGGAGGCTGGCCGGCCCTGCTCTCTCCTCCGCCCCTCCACTCTCTGACGGAGGCGTGGTCAGTCCTGCCTCACTCTCTCCTCCTGCAGGAGGAGGCTTTTGTTCTAATCTGTGGGATTCTCCCCCCCCCCCGCTGCGCTCTGGTGGGGAAGCTACCCCTGATTTCCAGCTGCCGCTTGGCGACTCCCCACTGGCCCCCCTTGCCCTGACCCTGGGGGCCTCCTTCTGGGAATCTTCTGATTCGCTGGAGAGACTCAGGGAATCTCCCTGGTCACTGTCACACCCTCCTGCGCTCCCCTCCGATTGTTCCCCTTCGCTCTCCATCTCCTCCTTCTCCTGTGGCTCAGTCCCTGAGCCCCTGACAGTATCTAAAAAAGAACTCCGAGTAAAACAAATATCCTCGGAGTAAATCTTGCATGCTTCTGCTATCAAAGAAACCCAACAGTGCCTGCCAGCCTTTTTGACAAATTTATCAAAAGGATTGCCACCTATTTTCTTTTCTTTTTTTGTGATGGGGCTCCCATGCCTCTAAAAGATGGATGACTGATAGCGGTGCAACAAAAGCAGCTTTCCCCGTCACCGTGGGAATAGCTAGGGAGGGGTATAAATAAAAATTTATTATTATTATTATTATTATTATTACACTGGAGCCCTGCCAGAGGAAAAAGTTTTCAATGCTAACATGCCACAAATCTAAAGTTATTAGGTGGGGCTAGTGTGCACTAAAGGGCACACGCAGCTTCCCTTTGGTATAATTGTGGTGGCAATGGCCACTGGCTTAGATAAGATTCCAGAGTTATGGAATACAATTAGCTTAATAATAATAGAATATAAGGTTGAACAGATAGCAGCCATGATTTCAGAATCATCGTCATATAAGAAAGTTAGGTAAATTACACAACATGAATGTATCTGTATAATTAAAATATTTCAGATTCACTCAAACCCCACCCCACCCGTTACTCTAAAGCAGAGTTTACCAAACTTGGGTCTCCGGCTTATTACATCCTGGCACAGTGTAGAATATGGTTCCCTGCGCTGTTTGCAGGTTCCCTGTACTTTTTTCTCCTCTGTTCATTATCACCTTCCCATGAGGACTCCTGGCAGCTGAAGAACCTGCCACTTTGCAGAATGCAGCACCCTTCAAAAGGGTGGCAGGCAGCAGCTGAGCGTTACTTCTCTCCTGCGATGACTGCCAATTAGCCTTCATAATGGAAATCGCCCGCTAGCTGAGGCAGCTGCACACTATGAAGTCAAAGGGCAGCAGTTGGTATGCTGATGCCAAGCAAGGGTCAACACAGAGGTGGGGGGCAGGGGGATATCTCAGCCTCCCCTCCTCTTCTCTAAGCATTTAGGGATTGTGAAAGCCGTTTTTGTTGAATTCCAGAGAGGAATACAAATGAGAAAGTAGATGCTTCTTTGAAGAAGAGCTGCGGCCCAGTGGTAGAGCAAATGCTTTGCATGTACAAAGTCCCAGATTCAGCTCAGACTCCCTGCAGGCTGCCTCTCCACCAGCCCCTGGGGGGGGGCAGGATTCCCAGGCACAAAAGCCACCTGTCTCTACCGTGTTATGAAGACTAAATTTAAAAACTCAGCTCCTTCTGCATTCCAGAGCAGCAGTACTCAAGGCACAGAGTGAAGGCAAAAAACTGAAAGATACCAAGTAAGTTCTAGAGGTCATATCCTTGGTAACTGGATTTTCCTAATTGAGGCCAGCTCAAAAATGCCATGAGTTGGCATCAAAGATGCAATGGCTACTTCATCTGACATACAACCATGTGTGTCCACTCTGCGCTGGATATGATTTAGAGAAGAAATCTCTGGAAATAAGGAAGTCAGCACTTCCACTGCCTCAAGGCAGCATTGTTGGGGCCAACATACGGAATTCCTGATAAGCTGTACTTCTACAGAAGTTATTTGTTATAGAAACAGGGAAGGAACTCTTACTGAAGCTCTTCATCTCCAGTTACACTGAAGGCATTGTATAGCACATCTGTCATGAACGGGGATGGGGATAAGATATGTCTCAGGTTGATAGAATAACACACAAATTTGCCAGAAGCATTTTCTACTTCAAAAGCGCTGCGGGACAAAATATAGAAATACCAGTGGGTGAGGCGCAGATGGAAACAGTGACTCTTTCCATAGAACTCACACTGACCCTTTTCAACCCCTTTACTCCTGAAATTCTTAAGGTCAGCACCAGCTAGCCCTGAAGTATACAGTGACTAGCACAATCCCAAATGAAACAAAATTGCTGCAATTTACTAAAAAAAATAATACTAAAATATTACTACAATAATCAATCATTTACAGGACATGTCAACTGGGAAGTCCCACTGATTTCAATAGGACTTACTTCCTAGCATGTGTGTGTTTCAGCCCTAAATTCTGATTTAATTGCTGAGGCTGGGCACCAACATAAGAGAAAGCCCCAAATAAGAAGTGTGCAAAGTAAAATGATGGCTTTTGGCAAAAAAAAACCCCAGCCCCTTAAGGAAGGTTAAAGACTGTATTCATTAAGAGCCAAAGATAGTCTGAAATGCTCCAATTACTAGTACGAGTATTTCAAAGCTTCCTCCTGATGGCTACTGGGGAGCTGGAGTAATGAGCTCATTAATTTAAGCATTGCCAAAACAAGATGTCAGTGTTACTGTAACTTTTATTTCCTCTCTGCTGAAAAAGTATTTGAACTTAAGACACATTTTGAATGTTAATCATTCAGGCAGGCCATGTGTGGCAATTATGAGGCTTTGGTTCACTTTTGAACACAGAGGCCGAGGGTTCAGCCCAAGCTGAAAAACACTAGAGCAAAATCTCCCATTGCTAGGTGTGATCTGCAAATCTCCAGCCCAGGAGATGCTTACAAAAAAGTCTTCCTGTGGATGCTTTCAGAATGCCCAATCATTCTTATTGTAATGTTCCTCAGTCTCCCAGTTTGAGTGCCCACTGAAAGATTTCTAATTTCATTCTGTATTTTGTAGCCTATGACAAGAGTCTGACCCAGGATAGCTGGTTTGTTATCATGGCTTGTCCTGTCTCTGAAGCACGAAGAATTGCCACGAAGATCACCATTGTAGGTGCAGAACACAGCATTGAAACTGAGCAGGCAGATACAAAATATTGCCCATGTAAGCTACAGAAGCTAAATTAACACACGTATTATATGGACAAACATGAGAACTGTCCCACCACATTAGCCCTATTCAAGTATTCATTTCTGAATGTATGAAGGAACCAGTGGGAATATGTAGGCCTCTTGGAGGCCAGGAATGATAAGCAAGCAGTACTAATGTTCACAGATGCAGAGAGGGCCTTTGATAATGTGTCCTGGATGTTTATAAAAAAATGATAGAGATGATGAATTTTGGAGAATCATTTCAGAGGGGAATAGATGCAATCTATTCAGAACAACAGGCTATGTTGATAGTGAATAATGTGACAACAGAAAAATGTAAAATTGCAAAAAGGACAAGACAAGGATGTTCCCTGTCTCCATTGCTGTTTATATTAGTCTTAGAAACACTGGCAAGATGTATAAGCTCAGATGATGAAATAAAAAGTATTACGTTTGGGTGCAAAGCATACAAGCTGAAAGCCTTTGTGGATGATTTGGTGATAACAGTAGAAGACCCGTCCAAAAGTTTACCATGGGTCTTGGATAGAATTTTGGGGTTTCGCTGGGTAGCAGGATTTAAGCTAAACAAACAAACAAACAAAAACCAAATTGTTGGTACAAAATATGACAGAACAACAAAAGGAATTACAAAAACAAACAAACAAAAACAACCTGGAATTATCAATAGGAAAAAATGTGAAATATTTGGGGATGGAAGATGGAAGGAGGACAATCTATCTACAAAAGAAGACTGGCAGCTAAAGATGATGGACTATGCCGAATTAGCAAAAATGACCGGGAAAATCAGAGATCAAAAGGACAATAAATTTAATAAAGAGTGGGGGAATTTTTAAAGTTATTTCAAAGAACACTGTAAACAATTGAAAACATTGGCAGGATTTTGACAACACTTGCAATGAAGCGAGAACTATGATAAAAATTGAGTTTCAAGAAAATACGGAGAATACAATACGATGCAGTTTGAAAAAGATTATCTGGGGAAACCATGGAGGGCTAGAGGGAAGTTCCAGGATTCCGAGAATCCTATTTGTAAAACGATTTTGATTTATGTATGATGATAAATGTTAAAAGTGAAAATGAATTTTAAAATGTCAAAAAAGAAGGAATATGTAGACCTAGCCCTGTGTCCTCATTGCCATCATGTGCAACACCATCTTCCAGCTGATGTGTGATTGGCTCAGTCCAAAGACTCACATGATTCAATGTTTGGGGAGGATTCAAATGCTTCCCTGCATTATGAAGCAATACAGTCCCATGCAAGTTATTCAAAATAGTGAGTCATTGGATCCTCATGAATCCAAATTTTAAGCAAGATGACAAACCCTGGTTTGAGGAATGAGGGAAGCCAAGTTGGACTTGCCACAAAATTAGCACTGCGGAGCACTGATGTTCCAGATTCTGACCATGGATATTCCATTCCAGGATATTCCATTTCCAGGATATTCCATTCCATTCTGTTCCACCACCACCCCACCAAGACAGTCAGTATTCTGTGTCCATTATGTATGCTGAGCCCTCACTGAGCTGCTTTTGGATTTCCACCCCCCACCCCAAACAACTTTGTGTTCTTTACAAATACTAGGCTTCTTCAAGACTGCTGGTATCGCCCACTTCTGCACAGCCGAGACTGTTTGGGTTGCATAAGGATCTACACATGGCAAACTAATTCACTGTTAGTATTTATGATGGTGTGCACAACTGCAGCCACATAGGAGAACTGGGCACAAGTTCTTAAGTGGAGTCATTTGGCAGCTGAGAATGAAACAGACAGAGCAGGCTTGAGAGAAATCACACATTCAATGTTTGCCCTATTAGAAATACTGGTTGCCAAGTGGACCTTCAATCAATGTAATTCATTCACCCTTTGCCATCCCAAGAATGTCATCTTTTAGCGGAATGCCAAAGACAGAGCAAACAGCATCACCACCACACAAATTTATAGAAACTCTACATGAATGAAAAGCTTAATGATATAGTCAAAGATGCATTGGTGATATTGTAACTCCAGTAACTAAAAACATGTTTCAACAGATTTGTGGGTGCCTACCAACACATAAGGAATCAGGATTTGGTATTCTTTTCCCATGTCACTGACAAAAGCCAACAGTGATCTGGAAACCATCTGATCCTGGGGTACAAGAAGGAAATTTTCTAAACTGTGCAAGTCCACAATTCTGCCACTGTATTATACAAATACAGTGGTACCTCGGGTTAAGTACTTAATTCGTTCTGGAGGCCCATTCTTAACCTGAAACTGTTCTTAACCTGAAGTACCATTTTAGCGAATGGGGCCTCCTGCTGCCGCTGCGCCGCCAGAGCACAATTTCTGTTCTCATCCTGAAGCAAAGTTCTTAACCTGAAGCACTATTTCTGGGTTAGTGGGGTCTGTAACCTGAAGCGTATGTAACCTGAAGCGTATGTAACCTGAAGTACCACTGTATTGGCCCTGGATCTAGAAATCAGCATCTGGAATTTTTAAATTTTTTATTAATGCCCACTTGAGACCCAGTCCTTTAAACCTCCCAGGAAGGCAGGAGATGAGATTTACATTTATATCTGAAATGTGCTCAGAAACAAGCTAGCAGCTGGTGAAGATTTTTTTTGCAAGTTGTGTTCCACTGAGTGAGTCCTGCTTGTTATATTCTGAACCAGCCAAAGTTTTAAAACAATCTTCAAAGGCAGCTTCTATGGTTTCACCAAGCTTTGCCAAGCCAAACTGCAGGAGCAAAACAGCCTTGAGCATTGCCAACCTATGTTTGGTTTGGCTAAAATAAACTCAAAACCAAACCCTCTGTGGATCCTTGCTCACCTCTCATGGCTAATTGACACGTGGACAGGAGTTGGCACCACCACTTGAAAACCATCCGTTTCTCTCTCTCGTCCACAGAGACACACAAGCTGGAATTCCGCAAGGCCAATGTAGGACACCTCATGCCAGTTCCTAGCTGAAGGAACAGCAGCAAAATGAGAATGAACTAAATAAAAAATAGCATTCACTTTGGTTTACTGGATTTCTTAAACACCTTTTTCTAAAGGAAGACTCAAGGCGTCTTGCAGTAAGAGACAGAAGAGTCTGAAACAAACCACAGAACAAGTGACACACCTAGAGTATATTTAGATACTGTATTAGATTTCTCTCTTCCTTCAAGAGTTCTTGGGGAAGAACACAGACCAGGGTCAGGGCATCTACTCTGCATGCAGAAGGTCTCAGCTTGAGTCCCCAGTACCTCCAGCTAGGGCTGGCAATGACTTGCTGCCTGAAACCACAGGGTTGCTGCCAGTCAGAGCAGACAATCCTGAGCTAGATGGACCAGGGATCTGACAGGCACCATCCTATGTTCCTATCCTTATTTACTCTCACAACCATCTTCTGAGAGATAGCCATGAAGCTCATTTAGTGACCTTGGGTAAGTCGTTCAAGTAGGGATGTGTGTCAGGTTCACTTTGGTCCAGTTCCAGTAATTTATCCACACCACCACAATGGCCATGATTGTGCAGATGGTTGCACGAGAGAGAGATCTTGCGTGTACCCAGGACACATAGTGCTAGTCATATTTGATGTGAAGTTACAAGGGGTGGGTGGGAGGTGGAGACTCACCTGGGTGACTATCAGCTGTCTAACTGATCTATTTTCTCTAACAGCTTGCAAGGGGAATCATCAGTGTGCGACTACTGCTGTATGTTTTAATGAAACCAACAAGAATCCTATGAAGATGTGAATCTAACTGTATCAAGCTCATGTGTGACACCACCTCCGCCTGATGGGGAGAGGACAGTCACTACAGGTATGTTGGGCTCTGTGGGGCTGGGCAATGTAACACTGATATGCAGAGTCGAGGGGAGAGAGACTTTGCACTGGCCACCAGGCAATGGCTTTTTCCACCTGCCTTGCCCCATCCTCCAGCCCTAGGAGCCTTTCCCAGACCATGAATAGCAGAAACAGCTGGCAAGCGAGAAGATGAGTTCAGGGATTTTCTTTTTAAATAATTTTGTAAGTTGTATGTCTTTTGTTTCTCAGTTTGATCTATTTACATGTGGTATTTTATGCATTGTGACTTGCTGCTGTTTTTATTGATTATATTTAGTTATTATTTATTGTAATTGTTAAGAGTGAATTTCTGTTTATTAGTTGCTGACATTTCATTTTACTGTGCACTATTATATTCCGAGGGATTATTAAATATTACTTTATTTTATATAAGTTGTTTATTTGAAAGTTATGCTTTTATTATCACTTGTGCACAGTAATATAGAAAGGCTGTATACAAATCAAAAGTGAAATTAATTGAAAATGAAACATCCAATGCATGGAGGTTAGGTGGGTTCAAGATGGGACACTTCAGAAGTGCAGATAGGCTCAAGTCCAAGGTATCCTAAGAGCACACCAAGGGCATTATTGGCACTCTTTTTAAACCAAATGATATGCCTTAGCAGCTTGGGTTTTTTATTCCACAGTCTGCCTTTGAAGCTGCCTCCATTGACTTACCTTCTAAGAGGTCTAAGTAAACTAAGAAAGCAGCATGCACACAACTGCTCTCAGCCACATCCAACGACATCATCCCTGTGAGCTGAAAGACACAATAGGAAGCAATAGATGTAAAAGCTACTGCCATGCAACAAAATCCAAGCAGTTTTATCCACAATATTTTGAAAGTGTTTTCCCATCAACTCTAGAGATGTTTGGAAGAATCCCCCCAAAAGCACAGCACACACAGTTTTTTTCAGGCCTGTTAATGGATTTACTGCTAGATAGTCTGTTAAAAGACTTGCAGGTCATGTTTTGAAAATGCCAATAAAACTGTCTTCCAAAAGGTGCAGTTTAGTGTTTTGGAAGGGGAGGGGCATGATTTAGCAATGCTGATTGTTCATAAAACAGGGCCAGTTCTGTCCTAGGCCTACTGGGCAGGGACTGCTTTAAATCTGTGTTTTGGCAAGCCCCTGACACAGGAAGGGGGCGGCAAGCAGCTGTATCTGAAACTGAACTTGGAATATCCATTGATATAACTGCTATTTATAAATAACTGCCACAGCGATGTATTTACTTGCTGCATTTATATCTCATCTTTCTGCCAAGGAGCTTGAGGCAGCAAATGTGGTTCTTCCTCCCCTCTATGTTAACCTCACAATAACCCTGTGAGGTGGGTTAGGCTGAGAGATGGGGACAGTCACCTGGCATTCCTCATGTCTTACTAGGGATGTGAATCTGGATTTCCCAGGGTCTAGCAAAGTACTCTAGCCACTATATCACACGGGTTCAGCTGGAGCCAGAAGCTACTTTTCTGTTGACTAGTCAGGGCCAGAAGGTGAGGCTCCTGGTACTTTTGCCAGGGCTGGCTAATACAGAGCAGGGGTGGGGTTCCTGTGGCACCTGCGTACGATCTTGGACTTCAACTCAGCCAGCAAAGTCAGGGCTGATGGGAGTTGTGGGGGGCCACAGGCTCCTTGTCCCTGATGCAGCGACTTCCTGCTGCCTGCCAGTTACAGAGGACAATGTTGCACAACCCTGTTTGTCAAATTAGGAACCAGCTTCCACACATGAGGCTCCCTGTTTAAGCGCTGGATACCCGACACACACAGCTGGTGCTGTGCAAATGTAAAATCGCAGCACTGCTAGGGACATGCTGCAAGCTTCACCTGCACCTGGCACAGTATGATCATATTATAATGCCTTGATCACTATAGAGAGCTTGATTCCTTCTTCATATCAAAAAAGCAAAATATCTGAGTTGTAAAGTTTGCACTTTATAAGCTTGAACAAGCTAATACTTTCCTAAACCTCTGATGGCTTGTGTTACACAACCATCAAAATAAGCTCTCTTTTAATATGCCAAACTCATAAGAGGGTTATTTCAGTAAAAATCACATCAGATCATGGAGTTCTGCATTCTGATGAGGGGGGAGGAGATTGTTGACCCAGCTCAGGCAGAGAACTATTGCAGAGGGTCCTGTAAAACTTCTTACACTTGAATAGAAAGTTAAGTGTATTAAAAGTTATTGCTCTTACAAATATTTGAGCTGAACATGAAGCTTTCTGATTCTTTACAGACTCTTTGTGCTCCAATCCTGAATATTGTTTTCATACTTAAAGACGCACTGAATGAAATCAGAAGGGTTTTATAAGAAGAGTTAGAGCCTGAATCTAAGAAGGCATTTGCAAGATGAGATTCAGATTAGTTAAGAACATGAAAAGAGCTCTTCGGGGTCAGACCGAAGTCCCATCTTATCCAACATCCTGTTTCCCAGCCAGACGCCTGTCAGAAGCCCAGAAGCAGGAGATGAGCACAGCAGCCCTTTCCTGCTGTTGTTCCCCAGTAACTGGTGGTACTCAATGGTGTACCTTCTCTGAGATTCTGAGGTTGTATACAGCTACTATAGAAATTTCTCTAATTCTCATTTACAGCCACTCAATCTGGTGGCCATCTCTACATCTTGTGGTAGCAAATTCCATATTAAGTAAGTATGAACTATGTGAAGAAGTACCCGTATTTTTCGCTCTATAACATGCACCAGACCATAACACGCACGTAGTTTTTAGAGGAAAACAAGAAAAAAAGTATTCTAAACGAAACAGTGGATGTATGATTTTTGTGGTTCATGCTGTGGCCACAGACATGTGATCTGACAGTGAGTTTGGAGTAGCTCAATGCAAAAATCCTGAGGATCCATGTGGATCCATGCTTTGTAACCATGTTTTTGCACCACTGTGGCCCCAGGCAACAGTGGGTGCGTGATTTTTTGGGTGCAAGATGTAGCCATGGACATGCTATGTGATCTGATGGTGAATTTGGGGTGACCCAGTGCAAAATCCTGAGGATCCATGTGGATCCGTGCTTTGTAACCACGTTTTAAGTGGGGAGGGAAGGAAAAGCACTCAAGGGACAAGGAGCACCATGGGGTGTGTGGAGAAGGATGCTTCTAATAATGCAGAAGAGGGGTTTAAGGGGAGAAGAAGCACGCGTGGGGTGTGTGGAGAAGGATGCTGCTAATAATGAAGAAGAGGAGGGGTATAAGGGGAGAAGGCTCCTCTCCTCTCCCACTTTGCTCCTTTAAAGCAAGCAGGCTCTGCTTTTCTCCCTCCTCCCCGCTCATCCCCGCCTTAGTGAGCTGAAAAACTTTGCTGCTATTTAGCGAGCTGAGTGGGGAGGAGAGAGGGACAGAGAGCCTGCTTGCTTTAAAGGAGCCAACCGGACAGGAGCCGCATACACTCGTGTAAGCGGCTCCTCTTCTCTCCCGCTTTGCTCCTTTAAAGAAGCAGGCTCTCTGTCCCTCTCTCCTCCCCACTCAGCGGCTCTTCTCCCGCTTTGCTCTTTCAAAGGGAGCCACGGAGGAGGGAAGGAAGGGGAACCATGGATCCTCTGCTCACAACTGCAGCAGATCCCCCCGCCACCCGTAGGCATTCGCTCCATAACACGCACAGACATTTCCCCTTACTTTCTAGGAGGAAAAATGTGAATGTTATGGTGCAAAAAATACGGTACTTCCTTTCATCTGTCCTAGATCTCCCACCTTCTTTGGATGGCTTTGGGTCGCAATATGATAAAAACATTTCTCTATCCCCTTTCTTGACATCACACACCTCTATCATGTCCCATCCTACTTATCTGCTTTCTAAACTAAAAAATGGTTTTAAATGCCTCAGCCATAAACACACTATATTCCTTTTAGCAGGACACTACTCCTCTTGGCTTGTCATCTGCAGTATGCAAATACTGTTGCCCTTTCTTACAGGATTGCTGTTAGCGAATGTGGAATATTTGGAACGTTCTTAGATTCTTGAGTTCAGTATAACTGCTATTTCATCTCTAGTCCAGGGATGAACCTGCACCAGGGCATGACAGAATTTGAGGTCAGTCAGTCAAGGGTGCAAAGCTACTTAAGTCCAGTAAACTTGGCTGTTTGAGAGGCTTCTCTCTAAAACTACAGAGCTGGGTCACATATACATGAAGTCATTCTAGTTCAGGGTTTCCCAAACTTGAGTCTCCAGCTGTTTTTGAACTACAGCCCCCTTCATCCCTAGCTAGCAGGACCAGTCGTCAGGGATGATGGGAATTGTAGTCCAAAACAGCTGGAGATCCAAGCTTGGGAAACCATGCTCTATTGCTTATTCATCCTGAACATTTTTTTGTTCATTTTTTTTGTTGATTTTATTTTGCTGCTCCACGTGTCCAAATTGCTCTTTATCCCTTCATGTAACACCTAAGAAGCTATTGCACACATATATTTTACTTTTACTATATGGCCCACTTCCCTTTGGATTCTTTTCCTTATGTGTCACGTGCAACTAAACTGCAAGTCTGTACCATCTCTCTCTTAATTCATGTATGGCACCTGGCATGGCAATAGGCACTGCATAACAGCACCTGTGACAAGTGCCTACATAATGCTGTGCCAACTTTATTGTCCTTTGCTCTTCCTTCAACCAGGTGTATAGCCCTTAACACACAACCATTCATTCATCAGTGGATGCAGTTTCACACGGCAAAGGATAGTATAGTAAGATCATAACCAGCAGAAAGCATGGTCAGAGACACTCTCCCTCCAACTTCCATTAACAAGCTGTTCTATTATCAACTGCAAGTGGGGAAGGGAATGATTTCCGCTTTGTTCGCTGCAGGTTGAAAAACACTTAAAGCTAGCACTGCACTTTGCACATAGCCAGAGGTGCAACTGACAATGCCCCCCCTTTCCTTTTTTCTTGTGTCTATTTACACTGTAAGCCTGGAGGCAGGGTTCTGCTGTTTTCTATTCTAATTGCTTATTTAAAGGCATTTATACACCACTCCTCATAATATTTATTCCTCACTGGGGCAGGGTGGGTGAGGGAAATGTTTTTACATTACATTGTGCAGTGTGTAACATGCATTAAAAGCACAATTTATACACTACAGGGCACTAAGCCAATGGGGCAAATAATAATAATAATAATAATAATAATAATAATAATAATAATAATAATAATAATACCACCCTTATTTATACAAGTACCTACTGAGAAGATCCATTACAAGGCAACTATTCCAGAAGGAATTATTGTGAAAAGAAGATTGGGGGGAGAGTCAAATGTTGTCCTCTCAGGGTGCTGCTATATTACCAAAGTCCATTCCTGATTCCAGGATGGGGACAATGTTTTCATAACTTTCTTCTTCTTGTTTGTGTTTCTTGCGTATTTTATGGTTTTTTTAAAATCTTGCATTTTTATGTTATGAGCCACCCAGAGATCTACGGATGAAGGGCGGGATGCAAGCTTAACCTTGTCAATAACTAATCAGGATAAGTGCCTTACGCGTCAGCGCCACAGCCAGAGCCAGGTCAGCCCAGCCCCAGCCCCCCCCCCCCCGCGCCCGGCCGGACCCGCTTCTGACCGGCGGGCGGGATAGAAACGCAAGAGGGAAAGGGGGGCTGTTTCCCCGGGGCCCCCGCGCGCCCGGGTCCCTCTTCGGCGCAGGGCAGGGCGGGAGCGAGCGCGGGCCGTTCCCCGGCTATACCGACCGCAGGGTGATCCTCCCGCCGGCTCCCGCGGAGCGTCCTCGCCGCCGCCTCCGGACGGGACTGAGCCGAGCAAGCGGCGCCCGCCGGGGAAGACCTTGGGCCGCCCCCCGCGCCGCTTTCCGCCATGGCCTCTCGCGCGCCACGCGGCTTCGCTCCGCGCGGTGTCTCCGCGCTCAGGGTCCCCCGCGGAACACGCGGCCCGGCGCTAAGGTTCCCCCTCCCGACGCGGCCGCTCCGTCGCCCGAAGGTTTCCTGCGAGGCGCCGCCTGAATAGATCCTAACTGAAACTGAGATTCAAAGGAGGGGCTTTTGCGGGGGGGGGATCCTTTTATGAGGGAGGAGGAGGGTAGTCATTTAGGGGGAGAAAATTAATTTTTGCCAATTTTTTCAGCGAGTGGTCTTAAAAATATGTTTTGAGTGTAAAGAATCAAAATCTAGTATTATTTTTGTGAGTGGACAACATTTAGCTTTGTAAATCTACATTTGATGAAGAAGCACATAAACTACTTTTGGTAAACCTTTTTTTAAATTTTACATTCTGAAAATGTAAATAATAATAAATACTGATAACAATGACAATATATAATATAACTGGAAGTACTTGGCAATTCATTTTTAATGATTTCTATGCATTATTACCATACTTTAACTTAACAAGCAAAGCTAAATTATATTAATTTAACCAAAAATTTTTTTGAATTCTCAGGTCACATTACAGCTTTTTAGCACCCCACATTTGGGGAATGTGAAAGTTGAAAACTTTCCCCCAGCAGGGAAGCAGAAGCAGCCCCCCACCCCACCCCCCCATCCAGCATCATTTCTTAACTAATACTTATTTCTCCCTAAGGTTTCTGTAAAATGGTGAGCTGCCAGTTTAGGATTGCCAGCTAACCAGACAAGCAGCCCTTTGATCTGCCCAACTCGGCAGGTGATATTTTTGATGGTGTGACCAATGAGGTAAAGCCATGCTTCTCACTGGGGTTGTGCTGCGTCTTCCTTGCTAAGCATGCTCGCTCTGCAGAGATCCTTGCATGCGGCATGCAGTTGTGGTCTACGCGTCAGGGCACAATGCAAGGAAAAGCAAAATGGAACAAGATTATCTCCCAAGTTTGGCCCCTCCAAAACCAACACACAGGGAGGCATCGTGCAAGGAAAAAGCAGCAGCTCTTCCCAAACCTTGCTGGCAGGGCCAGCTCTGCCACAAGCCGGAAGAGAGGCAGTGGCCTCAGGCGCTGATTGGGGGTTTCATGGAAAGGAGGCAAGCGGCTTGCTTTTTAGTTTATTGTTGTAGTTTTACTCCCAGGGAGAGGTTCTTGTGGGCTAGTCTGCCTCAGATGCCAAAGCAAGTTGGGCGTTCTTTCGAACTATTCCCTTTGAGTGGGGGGGGGTGTGCTCGAGGTACTTGAGCAAAATGTCTAAGTCATGAGTGGCCTTTTGAACTAACTCAAAACATTCTGAAGGCAGACTTTGAAATACAGTTTGGTAGACAAGCTTCTCAGCAATAGCACAGTTTCTGCTAGTATTTTTTTGGAGTGATAAGTCTAATACCAATGTGAGAAGCCGGTGTATTTGATTTTTACAAACATAAAACAGCAGCACTTAAAACATCTGTAGCTTCACCAGTCCCCCATCCCAAATCTGTGCTATGCCTAAAAAAAACAACTGTCAGATTATACGCTTAACTCTTTAACAGATTATATACACTTAATATACTTAACCGTTAGGTTGAGACCTAGTGGGCTGCAGCCTGATCTAAGGTGGCTCACAACAGAAGCAATACCACCATGCAAATATATGGTAAAATATTCAGAAATGGGTCTCCAAATGCATGCTTGGGTTAAAAGTGTGTTGCGGGTCTGAAATGGTTGAAGATACCTGCTCTAACATCAATGCCTCATTGCTGTACTGCCTTTTGAGTATACATTTCACATACATTTTCTCAGCAGCTTGTTTAAATGGGTCATTATAATTCTTGTGCCCATGTTGCAAAGTGTCTTCCTTAATTCTGTCTGCTGAATTACATGGCACAGGAAAGTTCTGAGCCAGAAGATTCCTAGTTGATTAGACACCAGTAACTCTGGATACTGACAGCTTTACTGCTATAGATAAATAGGTCTTCTCCCTCTGAGGATGAAGAGGATGATGCAAAGCTGCCTATGAACAATTTTTGAACTGCTCTGAATTAAACTTGAGAAAGAGCATAATAAACAAATAAATAACATCCGTCAAGCCCTGTCATTGCAGCAAACTTTACTACTTCCACAAAAGTGAAGATTGTTTAGTTCACTCAGTTTTGTGTTTCATGAAAGAAATTCTAGAAGTGTGATCTTATTAAGTGCCTGCTAAAAATAATCCCACAAATTGGCAACTCTGAAAAGGCTCCTTTTTTGCTTCTGAGGGACATTTATTGAAAGCATAGTGAGAAGAATGAAAACATGCTACTGTTTCTCGAAGGAACTGTCCCATACATCTGCTTCCTGTTGCAAGGACTGCCAAATATTTTAGTGGTTCCACAGAAATCTGAATCTTAGTCTGCAATCCTACACAGGCTTAACTGGGAGCCTCCAGGAACTCAGTGGTTGGTGGTGGGGAGATGCTTCCTTTTTAATCAAAATTCTCTGGTCATTTGCTTGAGTTATCCAGCTGCACTTACGTTGCGGTCCTAATTACATTTGTTTCGGTGAGTGCATTGGGTATGCATGCATAGGATTGGGCTATAAACTCTAGATCGGTGCTTTCCAAACTGTGTGTTGCGACACATTAGTGTGTCGGCCGCAGTGTGTAGGTGTGTTGCACGAACACTCCCCACACTCCTCACAGGGCTGGAAAGGGATTAGTTTAACCTCTGGTTTGCTAGTGAAACTGAATTACTGTGTTGCGAAATGATGCATGTCTAAAAAGTGTGTCACCAACATGAAAAATTTGGGAAACTCTGCTCTAGATTATGATTGCTTTCTAGCAGGGAGTAGCCTGGGTAGGTGGCTTAGCTAGAGAAGTACTGTAGGCCAATGCTACGCATGCTTCCTGGAAGCAGTGATTCCCAACAACCAAACACAAAATCTCTACAAACAAATTAAGAGTGAATGCTCATTAAACAGCCAACCACTGTCTAGTTTCCCTACAAATGTATCAGGCTGTATGTTCAATAAACAGGTTGTTGGGAAGCATCCGTAATCACATCCTTACAGAACCATGTGTTCATTGGGGCTTGCAATGTGCATGGGGTTGCAACCTCAATGCCAGGAAAGTATATTATAATCCTTAGCCATAAATGTGCAGATAGAGCAACTGAAGTCAATACAAAGCAGGAAAACCTCAGTGCCAGTCCAATCTGTTATTTCATTTATTAAGGCAGAGGCTTCATGGAAGGTTGGCTCCGTGTAGGGGTATGCATATGCAGGATTCAGCCACCATGGCCTTTCTAGGCATTCTACCTAATGAGGTCGTTGAGTCCGCAGTGTCTCAGTCACTCTTGCAGTCCTAGACCCCTATACCTGTGGGAGTAAATTCTGCGGAAGTCAGTGAGACTTCCATGCAAGTGCACGTGCATAAAGAGGATTGTGCTACAAGGGGCAGAATTCTGGAGCACAACTTCTGACCCGGTGTGTCATTTATTATTTCCCCAGGTAAAAAGCTCCTTGCATGTAGTACACTAGCTCATGAGTGAAAGGACGGTGTGGGGACCTCTTTTCCCCGACATGCATGGAGCTCTTAGTCGTGGGAATCTAAAAAGAACACAGCTACGGAGCCACCGGTAGCGCGAAATTCCACCACCACACTGTTCTCCCGTGTCCACTAGCATTAATTCGAAGTGTGCCCGGTGCAATCCGAGCCCAATAGGGATCAGAAGAAAAAGATCATCTGAATAGTTTGTAGGGACCTATCCCTTCTTAGCGTTACTTATGATTAGTTTTGCAAAAAGCTCCGTGTCGTTTAGGAGGTCGGCAGAGGAGGGACTATGGACAGAGAGGAGCACGCGTGTTTTGCTTTTGCTTGCTCCACGAGCGGAGAGCTTTGCCCCCGCCAAGCCGCCTTTCGCCGAGAAGGCACAGCCCCCTCCTCCTCCTCCGAGCAAATAAAAAAGGCGAAGCGGGGGCGCGCGGCAGCGGCAGCCCGGTCTCCTCTCCCTCCCTCCCTCCCAGCCTGCTCTCCAGGTAGGCGCCTCCCGGCCAGCAGAGGCTCCTCGCGCTGCCCCGAAAGATGGCTGCGACCCTCGAGCTCCCTCGCCGCCCTGCCCGGATCCTGCTGCTGCTGCCCCTCTCCTGGGTCTTGGGGCTGCCAGGGGGCAGCTGCTCAGCCCCGGAGCAGCTCGGTCCGGATCCCCTGCCGGAATCCGCCTTGCAGAAGCCCACCGTCCTCCTCGCCCTCCTCGCCAGGAACGCTGCCCACTCCCTGCCCCACTTCCTCGGCTGCCTGGAGAGGCTGCGGTACCCCAAGAACAGGATCGCCCTCTGGTAAGTTGGCCGAAGGCGCCGCCGGAGAGAGGGGGGGAGACCTCAGTGACCTCATCCCGACGGAGGCTGGGCGAGAGAAAAGTTTCCAGGTAGCTGCATCAAGGTGGTGGATGGAGGAAAACGTGCGGGTTGGTGGGAGTTTGCAGGCAAGGTTGCCAACTGATCAAGGGGCCAGAGTTCTACCAGGTCTGCTCCTGTGCCATTAGCTGAAGCTGGGTCTTCAGAAATCCACAGATGAAAATTTTCACCCTGTGATGGAAGCAATATTTTTGTCACCTTTGATGTTGTCTGCATAGGATGTTGCTGTTAAAGATCCGGAGGCGGGGGTGAGTAAAAGACTGGAAGCACCTGGTGGGATGAATGGAAGGTTGAAGGAGGCGAGATGGGAGAGGCACAACCAAGCAGGGTGGAAAATCTAAAGTTGCAATTTGTAATCCTGCGTATTTGAGAGCTAACCCCCTGAACTCACCGGGACTTGCTTCTGAGTAAATTTGCTCAGGTTCACAATGGTTTACTGGCATATACGAGTAGTGTAACAGAACGTGCAGGAGTCTAAAATTGGGACTTAATCTTGCCGTCTGCAGCAGGGACTGCATACAGGAAGCACAAGGCAGATGAGGAGAATCTTTGTGGCTCAGAAGCCCATTGAGATTCGTCATGGCTGCATAGATTCAAGATCTTCTGCAAAAGGAAGGGGGAAGGCAG